GTCAGTTAGTTAGATTATTTATTTATTTATGTATTTACGTATTTAAGTAGGTAGGTAGGTAGATAGGTAGGTAGGTAGTCAGTCAGTCAGTCAGTCAGTCAGTCAGTTAGTTAGTTGGTTGGTTAGTTAGTTATGTGTTTCCGATGTCCCCGACCCTCGGTCCCCCGGCTCATCCCCGCTCTCCCGGTCCCCTCCCACCCGCTCCCTGCCGGTCCCGCCCAGTTTCGGTTTCCCGCGGGAGCGGTTTCCGGGAATCGGCGCTGCGCGGCGCGGCCGCGGGGGGGCGCTGCGGGGCCGGCTCGGGAGCTCGGGGTGAGAAACGCGAATTTTATCATCGTCTTTTGGCAAATATTGAAATGGATATTATATGTGTTATGTTAGAAAGTTATGGTGTATTAATCTTCTTAAGTAATGCTTATTGACATTTTAATAGTATGGTAAATGTAGTTTTGTGGTTAAAATGTAGCTTTCGTAGTTAATATATAAACTACGTATGTGGGATATTTTTTCAAAGAAAGGAATGACCTACGCGCGCCAGACAGCAACCACAGGACACCTAAGTCTTTCAGATAAAAAGAATTTATTGATCCATTATCAGAAGAAACTAACTTCATCCCACTTTGCTCAGCCCTGAAGATGCCGTCAGGATTAAGGTGAAGAAGCTGACACTGACCAGAGAGAATCCTGTGTTTGAATGGAATTTATTCATTATGGATGAGATGTAGGAATATGCAACGGGCTTTTAAGGGTTAATCCTCTGTTAACGTGTGTCCTTTTTCGGGCTTATTTTGCCCAGAAAAAGGTACCCGGACCGTCCGTAACTCTTTGTTTTTGTTGTCTCGTATTGTCCTAAATCTTAATTGTCCAAAATTTTATTACTCTAACTATATTACTATTTTATAACCATTTTATTACTATTAAACTTTTAAAATTTTAAAAACGAGTGATTGGCGTTTTTCACACCCGGGGATCTCGGGATGCTCGGGAATTCCAGCGCCGTGCCGGGAAACCCCCGCGGGGCACCGGGGCTGCTCCTGCCCTGAGTCCCGGGGCCGCTCCGGCACCCTCTCCGTGCGCTGACCCTGGCAGAAGGAAACCAGATTTGGTTTGGGATGAGTAATGCTGCTGGCGGGGTCAATTCAAGTGTGAAAGGGAAGTAGGAAAGGTTATTTGAAGTTACAGTGTTGTTTCACGTTAAGGGTATGCTGTTTTCCCTGGCCGTGCTAGACAAGATGATTTATATGTAAAAGACAAAGAATGCATATAATATTATGTCTGAATTATATAATAGACGTTATTAATTATATATTAGATGTTCAAAAAATATAGTTTAGAACTCCCTGGAAAAAATATATATACATATTATATATAGAGTATAATATAGCAGATATACTATGTTGTTATATATAGTATAACACAGATATACCATACCATACCAATTATATATAGTATAACACATACATTAGCATATACTATATACTTTTATAGTATAACATACTATAGTATACACTTAAAATACAATAAATAATTATACATAATCCAGCACATATTTGTACTAGCTATATGATTTCTTTTTCCCTGGGCATGATGGAAAAGATGATTCTTTTGAACTTTCTATACAAGGTCATAGTTAGTATTAAATGCAGCTGGAGCAGCTCGCCCCTGAAACAGGATCCAGGTGGGTTAGAGGGCAGGTGTCTGCAGTGATTTGAGGGTACAGCGACCCAGGCAGACCTCCCAGTATCTTTAGAGTTCTGAAGTTCCTTTTTTTTTTTTGCTGCTGACCGTGAGCTCTGCCAGCAGCCTGGTTCATTTTTTTCTCATGGGCAGTTTCATCATTCCCTGTTCAGGCTCTGCTCTCTCCTTTCTCCTCCCCGTTCTTGGGAGTTTTTCATGGCTGCTGTAGCTGGAGCCAAACCAACTCATTCCTTTTTCTCCACTTTTTGGCCCCTCTCAAGTGCACACTGTGAACCCAGGGACACCTGTCCAGGAGATTCCCGTGAGCACTCCCCTGCCTGGGTGTCACTCGTGTGCGGCTGCACCCGGGGCTGCACTGCCCTGCTGATGTCACCTTGTTCTTTGGGCTGTCACCTCCCTCCTGCTCCAGGGAAACCCGAGGCAGAGGCTTCACATGGATGAGCCCCTGTGCCCCACTGCTGGAACCCAAGACAATCCTCTGGTTACCCTACAAGACTCTCAAAGACCTCAGCACAAATTCAAAACCACCTGTGCCTTTGATCTTAGCCCATAGAAAAAACTACCAACTTTATATGAAGATGTACAAGCCATAAAAGTTTAAGTAGAATTATAGTTAGTTTGTCACAAAGTAAAAAAGTAGAATTTTAGAGGTTTTAGAATGGGGATTCAAGAAGCAAGATAGAAGAATCTGGGTGTGTTCTGTCTTTCTCCTTCTCCTTCTTCTCCTCCATCTTCTCCTGGGATGGTGGCACTTTTAGATTAGTTTAGAGTAGAGACAGACTGTCTAACATAAGTGATAGGTATTAGAAAAGTATTGTAAATAAAGTACATGTAGTTTTTAGTATAAAAAGATAACACTGCCCTGAGGGTGGCCAGCGTGCCTCAACCTGACCTGCTGGACAGACCTCAGCCGGTCAGAAAGGAAACGTATCAGATAAGAGCAAATAAACAACCTTGAGAACCAGAGCCCAAGAATCACATCTTCTTCTTCAGTATCGAAGCAAAGAAAAAGAAACTTTCCAACATCTCAGAGTAATGTTGACATCAAAGATCTCGTTACCGGGCAATCCACCCAGGGATTGCCCTCCTCTGGGTGGCACTGGGGGCACAAGGATTCTGTGGGGATTCACGAACGGGGCTTGGGCTCAGCTCAGGAACTGCCACATGGGGGACTCGGAAGGAACGAAGGAGCTCTGCGCACCAGCAGGAAGGAAAGCCCTGTTAGCCCTGTTTAAGGTTTCTCCTGCCCGGGAGCTTTCCCGGCAGACGCAGCGAGCATTTCTGGTCTCCTGTTGCCACCTGCTGTCAGCCGCCCGCCGCAGCCTCCTGCTCCTGTGAGAGGCTGCTCTGCTTCCATTGAGCTGCAGACGATTCAACGCCTGCACGAACAACTAATATAATATAATATAATATAATATAATATAATATAATATAATATAATATAATATAATATAATATAATATAATATACATTTTATATTATATATTATTCTACATTATACATTGCATATTGCATCATACTATAATATAATATATTATATTATATAAAATTTTATAATATAACAGATTATATAATCATTATATTATTATATAACAATATAAAATATATAATATACTTATATTAATAATATATAATATATAATATATAATATATAATATATAATATATAATATATAATATATAATATATAATATATAATATATAATATATATATTATATATTATATATTGTATATTGTATATTGTATATTATTTATCTATTGTATTATATAAAATATAATGTAATATAAAATTACATTTTATATTATGTTATGTTATGTTATATATCATATTTATACTATACTATACTATATTATATTATGAATAATAATTTTTGCTGATTAGTCCTTGGTTCACCGGCAATTGCTCCTTCTTTGCCCATCTTACAGAGCAATACTGTGAAAAAACTGTATTTTTCATTCATAGAAGTTGGATAACTCTAGAAAACACTGGGAAAATCAGCATGTGGCAGGAGAATGTTTTGTTTCTGCATATTAGTTCTGTCACCACAAGATTGTCACCAGTCTTTCCCCTGGTGTTCCCAAGAATACCTCTGAAAAAGGAGCAGGGATGCTGACACGTTGTATCAGGACATGTCTGACACAGCAGTTTGACACATTAAATCAAACCCTTGGCAACACGGTGACAAATGCCTTCCTCATCTGCTCAGCTTCTTTTTTCGCAATGTCAGAATTGGTAGATTTTTTGAAGAAGCTTCTCCTGTGATCAGAAAGACACTGGTGGAACCCCCCTCTCTATCTGACCAAAAAAAATCTCTTCTCAATTTTGTTCTTATTTCTTGCTCCTATTTATCTATTTTTAAAGAAATTAATTTATGCTGGCATATTCATAGAAAAAAAGCAAACATCATCCAGGGAGCTAGAGAGAACGTGTGAGCTCAGCTCTGTTACAGAGGTGGGTACTTTAATGGACTCTCTGGTTTTTAATTCATGTATCATTTGAAAAAGCTTTCAGCAATACATTTGCTTGCTCACCTCAAGGATCTAATTCCCCTGACTGATAACTAGATTTCCTGAACTGTGAGAATAGCTTGGAAGAAATCTGGGAGAGAAAGGGAGGGAGAAAGGCAGAGACAAACAATATTTGCTTTATTGAAAGTAGTAAAAATACAGAATAAATATTTTCTCCAAAAACCTTTTGTCTATAAAATATAACATAACTTAATTGACACAATACAAATAAATTTGTAGTGATCTAAACACTCTTATCCATTAACATTATGAAAAAAAATGACCTGAAATCTTCAAAGTTGGCAGTGTATTCTGACTGTCCCATATTGCTGTTCCCCTGCAGTGGCCCAGCCTGGTTTCCAGGAAAGGCAGAGGGGACAATTTCCACATCCTGCATGCTCTGTCACTGGGTGCTGATGGCACAGCAGGGACAGTGGGGCCAGGGCTGCTGGGATGAGGGTGTGCAGTGAGCCAGCTGCTCCTGCTCACACCCAGCCCTGCTCAGCCTCCCTGGCACCCAGAAATCAACTCTGCATGAGAAACAGAGATTTTATTCCTAGTCAGGTCCTTCTGTAACCCCCGGCATGGTTTGGTTTATCAAACATGCAAATGTTTGTCTCAAAATACAAATTGCTATTTTGCCACCAAATACTTTTGAGATGTCAAACAGGAACCAGGGCAGTACCACTGACACTGAAGGTGTGCCCTGCCAAATTTTAATGCAAAGGAGGAGCACTTCTTAAACAAGGAAAGATTTTACTGCTCTTATAAATTTACAGCAATTTTAGAAACTTCTAGCTCTCCAGTCTTGTGGGTTTTAACTGTTTTCGGATGAATGTCATCAGCTTTGTTATAAATATTGTTGCGTTCCTTCTTTCTGTATCACATTTCCCCTGAAAAATGAATCAAGAAAATGAAATTGCTTAATATTTAATCATTATTTAGAGCTTTTTAATCCCAAAATCATTTTATAAATGATAACATTTTTTATCCTTATTTTAGAGGTGGATTAAGCTGAATATTAGAACAAGGAAAGGTTATGAACATGAAATAATGCCAGGATTTATTCTTCCATGTACTAAAAACAAGCCAGTAAGAAATTTCTCTCTTTTCTAGATGTAAAAGACACGTTTGTGAATTACAGATCTTTTTTTGCTACATCTCTGCTGCATGATCCTTGGCAGACAGCAAATAAATTCCTACCTTTTTTGCCAGGTTTGGCATGAGCCATTGCTTCAGTCTTTCAAAATTCTGGAAAAAAGCATTGAATTTTTTCATGGCTGGATTATTTTTCAGGTGTTCTGTTCCTTCGAAGATTGTGCTGATACAATTCACATCCTAAGATGAAAGAAATAGAAAATTTGAGATACAAGTATTCATAACCACAAGCAACAATGAGTTTATTAAAGAGCATTGTGTGTTTTGCCCAGCTGCCTGGGTGGCAAATTCATTCTTAGTGACTTTTGGGCTTGAATTTGCAAACAGCTTAGGGGAGTGTGCTTCTCTGCTCTCAACATTTATTTACTCTGCAGACAGAGACCTGGCAAAGGACAGTATCTGCTGGTGTGTCTTGTAATGTCCAGCTGAAAGATGTCATTGTCTAAAGACTCAGCCCTGCCTCTTCTGAAGCCATGTGAAGCCTGGATTTCTCACATCTGCTCCTGTCTCTTCAACACAAGAGAAAGAAAACAAATGAACTTGAGGTTACTCCAAACATTAACCCTGTGACATCTGACACCTGTGTGCCAGGGCAGATGGGGACAGGGGTCACCCTCTCGTTTCCTGGCCCTTGTCCCATGCTGGTTCTCTGCCACAAAGCAGTCATGCCTTTGGTTTCCAAGACCTTGTGGTCTGGACAAGGCCACCAGAGGGGGGAGAAGGGATGTGGGATGGAGGCCAAGCAAAGAGTGATGGATGATGGTTGCACTCTCCAGTGTTGGGTTGTTTTGAAAGAGATCAGCTAAACTCACAGTGCTGGATTAGGGAAGAGAGGAGATGGAAGAGAGACCATCAGCAGCAGGAACAGATTCAGATTTTATGGGAGAAGAAAGTGATGAAAACTGAAGAAAACCCTAATCACTGAAGATTGGAGGAAATGCAGGCAACTGCTGAAGGTCAGCATTGCACCCATGATGTTCTTGACCAACATCTATCTCCAGCTTGTCATTCCTGGATGCTGCATGATGAATAAGAGAATTTTTTCCCACAGCCTTGCCTGGGAAGCCACATCCTTCTGCCACTGACAAACAGCAAATGCAGAGACACCTCTGTCACCTCTGGACCCACAGAAGAGGTGAGAGGGAAGCAGCTCTTCCCCTCAGGGAGAGCTGGGCACTGGCACAGGGGGCTGTGCTGGCACCACCAGGGCCCTCATCAGGAACAGGAACAAGGGGGCTGCCACCATTGGGCTCTGCTTATTCTGGGTCAGAACTTCAGAGCCAAAGCCCCAGCCTAGGAAGAGAGCTCCTCCAGACAGGATCCAGAAAACAGTGACAGAGCTGGGAACTTCACAGCTAATCTGCAAGGAATAGGATGGATTGGGATGGAATGGGAATCCCCTGTAACCATTTTAGGGCAAAAATCGGAATTATTCTGCTCCTTCAATGAATCAATGAGTCAGAAACATTTCCACAAATAGCCGTCTGGCACACTATTAGCAGAGGAGCTCTGTGCTAGATTGTGATCTGTGGAAATCAGGATTCTAGTAAATGCACAGCAAAGTCCCATTAATGTCTGCATGATGAGAAAGTCATTTAAAGTTATCAGAAAAAGAAAATTTGAGAGGGGACAGGAGAAATTTATTGGAGATGCAAAAGAAGATGGGAAATGCATAAAGGGGAGTTTGGTCTTTAGACAGACCCTGCTCATGGGCACCCAGTCACAGTGTACTGTTCAGGGGGCATTAACATCATCCTTCAGAGGAGATGAGCTAATCCAACTGTTTAATTCCCTAACTGATGGTAAGGGTATAAAAAGCCATGTCTAGAAGTGGACTAAATGAAGCAGACTAAACAGAATGATTATTCAGACATACAAGCAGGAAATGTGATTGAATGTGGTCTTTCCTTTTTAGCTGCATCTCATTTAAAAAACTGATTCAGAAAATCATTCCTTGTTTGTGTTCTGCAGATTTACAAGAACATAGAACAAGTATAGTTCCTTTTATATTGCAGCATCTTTTTGGACTTTTCATTTGACTAGTTTTAATAGTGTTTTATATCTAATAACACTTTATATCTTATAATTAATTTTATATCTTATAATAGCTACACTTAAAATAATTGTTTGCTCTTAAATACAAATAGAGTATTTTAGGAGAAAATTTAAGAACTCCCTTAATTTCTAGTGAAGAAATTAACCAAAGAAGTTACTGTTATTTAAAGAAACCTTTTACTTACATCTATATTGTTGGGAGTTTCAATCCTCAGATTCTGAAAAATAACACATTAATTCACACTTTTAAATATCTTCTTCTTTAACACTGATAAAAATATAATAGATAAGAAACATAGATTGTTTTATCTTTTAACTTTTAACGTTTAACTTTCAAAAAAAAAAGTTATATATTCCAAAACAAGAGAATTCAGTATATTAAATTTTAAATTAGAAAAATGGAAATTGAATTTACCTGAATGTCCTTTGTCATCACCTCATACATTTGCTGTAGTAGTGTCAGTAATTCAGCCATGCTGCTCATCTGGGGAGCAGCAGAGATGCCTGCAGCCAGCAAGAGAAGGTAGAGATGGGTCTTCATCCTGCTGATGGGATCAGAGAACCTGCAAGTGGCTGTGGACCAGTCCTCTATCATTTTATGGTCTCTACAAGGAAGTAACTGTTTAGGTTGAATTTAAAACTGGTTAAAAAAAAAAAAAAAGAAAACAAGAAGAAAAAACCCACATTTATTGAGATTTTCTGGAAGAGAAAGGTTCCAGTAAATTTGGTGTGTAACCTTGGGACAGCCTCCTTGCCCAATCAGCTTTTCCATGGAAAGTAGATAGCAAATATATAATGAGTGACTTTTCAACATGAAAATTAATACAGCATAGGATGACCCAAAGCATGACCAAGCAAATATCATCTTCACAGCACTTCTCTAGAAATCAAAACTTCTTTGTTCACAGAGTGTAATTATGTGCTAGACAATTGGAAAAACACTGGTCTAAGAAAAAAACCCCAACACAACCCCATGGAAAATATGTGGCCCATTGCCTACAAAGGAAAAATGACAGCACTTGTCCAATATTGGTGGCAAAATTCTGACAAAATGCAAGTATTCTGTAATTATTCTGTAATTAACTTACAACAGGAGAAGCCACTGCCCTGGAGCACCAGGGTGGCCCTGGGGATGGGCAGAGCAAAGTGGCCCTTTTTGGGGGGAAGGAGGGATGCAGGGTGAATTGAGCACATCAGGCCAGACCTCATGGGCACAGTTGGTGCCCCAGAGCTGCTTTTGTATCAGGACAGTGGTGCCCTGACTGCCCCATTCTCTGGCCAGGAGCTGAGAAAGGGGAAGCCCACCAGGTTTGTGAGGCTCCAGTCTGAGGTCTTCATTAATTGAAGGCATTGTGGTGTCCTACTTGACCAAATCAGACAATGACCTGTGTTTCCCTCTTTCCTGGAGGGAAAGCTGGAAAAGCTTCTTTTTTACTTCTTTTTAAAAGGTGAATGATGTTATTCTACAGCATTGAAGGCAGCAGCCCCGGGGCTGCAGATCTGCTGGCTCCGCTTGTGGGGTCTCTTGCCACAGCATTTCAGAGTAAGCATCTCAATATCTAAATACTTTGAATTGGGGAAGTCAAGAGTCAGTAGTGGTTATGTGGCTTGGCTGAAGCTAACCTGCAGCTGGCTGCTGCCTGCTTTGCTGTATCCGTTTGTCCTCTCTAACAAGATGAGGGGTTTTTCCACACTCCACTCTTACCTGTAGAACTTTCTCACCACACAGCTCTGAGGATCGTGTCCTTGTAGGAATGTGGCAAGGAATAAGGAAAGAACTTTTTACAATGAGGAGGTGAAACACTAGCACTGATTGTCTGGAAAAGCCTCATCCCTGAGTGCAAGAAGAAGCTTGGGTGGGGGTCTGAGCAAGCTGGTCTAGTGGAAGGTGCCCCTGCTCATGGCAAGGGGTTTGGAACTGAGTGGTCTTTAGGGCTCCTTCCAGTTCAAACAACTCTGATTCTGTGGACTCTGCTTAAGGGCACCTCTGGGAGATACAGAGGCAAAGAACCTGCCTGGCACCACCAGCTGCCCTTGGGCTGAATTTGTAAGCCATAAAACTGAAAAGAGTAAGAACCCACTCTTGGTTCCCTGTGTTTTTGGTGTTTCACAGCTTGCTTCCTTTGGTCTCCTTCAAACTCACACTGGTTTGCAGGCAAAGCCTCCTCTCCCCTTTGGCTGGTACCTGGGCTGCACTGCCAGCCAGGCTGATGTTCCACCCCACCATGAGAGACCTCTGAGGGCAACTCAGTTTCAACTCAAGGTTTGTTGGAAAACCCCACTTTTTTCACCTTTTCCTTGGCCAACAGTTGGCCCATCCATGATGTTTCCTGTCCCCACTGCAAAGGATTGCCCCTGGGGCTGCTGGACTCTGCTGTGTCTCCCCTCAGACCTCCCCACGCTGGGGCTGCTTAGCACAGAGAGCACATCTGTGTCCAATTCCATTCCTGGCCCACACAACTGCCAACACATCTTGTCTCAGGCTTTTTCTTGTCTTCCCTCACTTGCATTTGGACACTTCTGCAGAATCTCAGCACTGTCCCAGAAGTTTTTATGACCTGCATGACTGTTCTTTTCCCCTTGACAAACTTAGTTTGCAGGAGATAATTCCCAGTTCTGAAGAATTCACAGTATTTTTGTTAAATACACTAGCACGAGCTACTTTTATTTTCAGCTTTTCCCAGCTCTAAAGGAACAAGACTCGTCCTTCACTGCTTGCTGTTTTTCCACTCTCTCTGCTTGTGACATACTCCAAAATCACTTACTTCTCAATGCGGGGATTTTTCCTTTTCTTTCACTTTTTTTCCTTATTTTACTTGAGGTAATAGAACTGCTCAAGTGCTTTTTTTTCTCTCTAAGATGGCTCAGTGACCCTACACAGATGATAGTCCCATCTCCTGAGAGGTTCATTATTGTACTGATGGTTTGGGGTTTTGTTTTTAATGTGAATGCAGGGTTAAGAGGTTGAAGAAAGATGTAAGAAAAAAATAGGGCAATGTAAGCAATAGGTCCTGGCCTCAATACTGTAATCTCTGGTACTTAGAATTCTCAAATTGGTCTGATCTGGGAGTATGAGCAGAGTGAAGGCATCACAAACATGAATAAAATTGGTAGGAATAGGAATAAGAATAAGCAAAGAAAATATTTCTGAAGAAATTTTGGAGACTAGAGTAACAGACAGCAAGTGGAAATCCACACTGCTGAATTTGTCTCTGTTTCAGTTTTGAATGATCAGGAGCATGGAAGTGAAGTGAATAAATAATCTAGTCAGTTAATTAATGACTTTTGATACGAACGAAAGAGGCATTTTGGTGTGAGTCAGGGTGTGATAAGTGTTCACATTAGATCTGGTGTAGGAATATTATTTAAGAAAATAATCAGATGATGGTGAATGTGAAAATAAAAAAGTTATCCTAAAGACTGTGCAAGGTGCTGCTGATGCCAGCTGGGATCATCTCAGGCAAGGGCTTCCCTGGGTCAAGAAACGCTGATGATTCCTGCAGGCATGTGCCTGCATGAGGTTGATGGACTCAGAGAATGCCTTGTAAGAACTGAGCTGCAACTCTTTGTAGGAGCTGCTTTTGCTCTTCCATGCAGATGCATGTGAAGTTACAATATTTAGATAAGGTTTCTTTACTGGTGTGAGTACAAAATGCAGCACTGCTATGGTGCAGTAATCTTACTAATCTGCCTCCCTAGCCTGCCAGGCTCAAGAAAATGGAAATTTCTGGATACCAGGGAACAACGCCTGCAGAGATGCTCTGGAATGCTTTCTCACATGGTTATGTTTCAGTATTTCATGCAGGGAACTTAGTTTAAAGCCAACCATTTGAGACGGAGTCTTCTCTTATCCTGACAAATTTTCTGATCCTCAAACTCATCCTGTCTCCTGGGGTTGTAGAACCTGTTTTAAGCTTTAGTGATGCTCTCCTTTGTAACAGACAGTAATGGAGAGAACTAGGTGAGTGCAAAAAGCAGGTTTCTAGAAGGCAGTCATACTCACCATATTTAATGAATGATTTTTTAGCTTTTTGCTGCCTTCCAGCATTACATGTCCCTTGTAAGGGTGGCTGATACAGCAAGGTACATGTGCATATCTGGATGCTCTAGCGGTGAGCAGAATTCCAGCTTCCTACAACAGACAGCAAAGATAAATCCTGGACTTAGTTCTTGCATCCCAAAGTAGTGCTGCTCCTGGAGCATCTCTGTCCCAAAACTGTCCTGGTGATTCTATAAAGGCCACTTACAAATCATGGAGATTGTGAAATGTGGGGAAGACTGGTTTTGACCTAGATTACATTAAATGATAACTTTTCCTGAGAAACAGGCTGTTTAATTTACACTTCTGTGACAGTCCGTGGGAGTCACTGTTTTCTGGAAACAGTATGTGCAATACCTGGCCGGTTTTTGCACATCTCCCTTTTAGCACTGGACACTGCCATCAGTGGGGACCTGTCACATAGTATTCTGAGACCAGCTTGGCTGAGCTGTTGCACAAAATGGGATGCTTCCTGTAGTAAAAAATAAAGGCAGAAGAGAAAAGACAATGAAGGGAACTGTTGCTCAAGATTCAGACAAAATGTGGATGTCATCTCCTGCTCAGTCTCTGCCCTGGGCTAGAGCAAAGGCACAACCGCTGGCTGGCCCAGACTGTATCAGAAAGCTTTGAAGCACCATGGAAAATCCCAGTGGAATGGTAGCCAGAATAGTGAAATATTTTAAAAAATCCTGAATCCATCGTCATGTATCTCCCTGAAGTGCCAAGGCAGAAGAACAGTGTTGGGATGCTCATTGCTTCAGATCTCAGGATTTACTTCCAGCAGCTTTAGCACCTCTTCTGTTTTCTAAAACCCTTTGGCTTCCTTTGCCAGAAATTGAAACTTGTAGGAGCTCAGAAACCTGTGATTATGGGTTTTTCAGCCCAAACCACTACATATATTTGTCCTTAAATGTTTTGTTTATTCATTTCCTGATTTTTATGGTGGCAGCGATGCCCTGGGTTTCAGTTCCCCCTGCAGCAGCAGCCTGCCTCAGTGCCAGGTGCCCTCTGCGCTCAGCCAGACCTTTCTGAGAGCAAACTCTGCCTAGTTTGGGTGGATGTTTTGCTTGTACATCCTGAAAATGAAAGTCTTTAAAGGCTTTTCACTCACAGGGTAAACAGCATTGTGTGTATTGCATGTGAATTTTAAAGTTTGTATAGCCAATCTTGCAACTTTCTCTGCTCTTGTGTGTGCAGCCTTTCCCTGCCAGGGCTCCTAAAAACCTCTTTCATGTGCCTGGATAACTCTGGTTTGAAAGCCCACCTTTCTTTTCTCCTTTGAAATGACTTTTCAATAGGTTGACAGCATGGTAAATGAATAATACTAAAAATCCATTTCTGCCACTCAGGCTACTTTAGAATGCTCCCAAGGAGTTAAATTGTTTTATAATCCTGGCACTGCTATTCCTGAAGAGCACAGGGCATAAAACATGTGCTCCAAGCTCTGTTAACCTGTGCTAATGCAGGAAAGCACTTCCAGAAGAACAAAATGGAAAGAAAAG